ATCCAGAAAACAGCTCCCCCACACCCATACTTTTTCCTGAGGCTTCCACTCCTCTGCTGACTTGGTATTTGCTTTCTTTAGCAGCATGGATCCTGCATGCCTTAGCTGCAGAAAGGGCTCCATTCTGGGATGCTGTAGGTGTTCAGCATGGCAGCTCTCTGGAACCTGCTCTGTTCCTTTTTACTATGGGCTGTCACCACAAGCATGATAGCAGAGGGGCATACTGTTCACTGCCTGGGACATTTGATGATTACATGGCTCTCTGGCTCTTTCCATGCTTAGGGATTCCTGCATTGCATGGAAAGCAGCTGATTAGACATGCCTTATATATTCATTTCAAAATGTGGTAAAGCTGATTTGCAGAATCCATTGAGTTGTTTCATTTGAATTTCTCTTTGATTTGCATACTTTAAAAAAATCCCCCTCCTGCTGTCTTTCTAGTATGTTGCTCTGTTCAGTTGTATTATTTCCTAAACAGAAAAAAAAATGTCAAGATACATAATCTGTGAGACTCTTCCCAGTTGGAAGTAGGTACACACATCAGTGTCATTCAGAAGGTGAAATTTGCTTTCTCTGTGCTTTGGAAAGCCTAGGAGTGATTTCAGACGATCCTTTATACCATATAGCCACCGGTTAGCAATAAAAAATGCAGTTTGCAAGAACTAATCAGGCTTAAGCAAACAGCCCTGTGCTGATATGTACAAATTTTATCCATTGGCAAAGGGAAGCACTTTATTAAAATTCCTTTTAATTAACTGTGTGTTGATTGTTGTTTCCATAGTGACAGTGTAACGAGGAACAGCCAAGTATGTAATCAGCACCTTGCTGTCTGTTTTGAGCTTTACTTTTTAAATTATTTATTTATCAAATATCAATTGTACTGATTAATGAGGTTCACTCCATTCGTCAGTATGCTGTGCATTGCACACATTTAGCCACCCTTCTGCAACCTGGAATCTCCCCCATTCTCTCATCACCCTTCCCTTTTCCTAAAACTCCCTCTTGATTTGTCTCTATTCCCCCAAATCTTTCCCATTCCCCTGCCTTCTATTCCATTCAGCATGTCTACAAGGTTGACTTCCTGGTTTCCATACATAAATAAGAAGGTGTGTCTTGCTGCATCTGCATTTTTTTGTTCAGCACACCTTCTCTAGTCATCCCATCCTCTTCACATCTGAATAGTATTCCATTATGTAAATGTACTGCATTTTCTTTACCCATATATTTATTATAGGACATCTAGGTTGGTTCTATATTTTGGCCATTATGAATAGTGTTGCAGTGATGCTGGGTGTGCTTTAGATATAAATACTTCATCTCAGATTATGTGCTACTTCTACTTAGTTTTCTACTGTCCATTCTCAGGAGTATGTAAGAGTTCCCATTATTTTTTATATTTTGATAATAACCATTCCAACTGGAGTAAGATGATATTGTAACGGTGGTAAATTTTTTTGTTGTGTTGTTGTTAAGAATCAAACCCAAGCCTAGAAACTGCTAGGCAAATCCTTTAGTGTAGAGCTGTGTCTCCAGCCCTTGTTTTGCTTGAGACAAGGTCTCATTCTGTAACCTAAGCTGACCTAGGATTTGCCTGGCTGACTTCGAACTTTTGATTCTTCTGCCTTAGCTTGGCTTGAGCCAACACACTACACTCATTGTAGTTTGATTTGTATTTCTCCTATAATTAGTGAAAATGGGCTTTTGACGTGTGCCTGCTGGCCATTTGTATGTCTCCTTTTAAAAAAATATCTGTGTAGTTCTTTAGCCTGTTTTAAAATTAGATTGTTTGGTTTTGATGTTCATCTGTTTTAGTTCCTTCTGTATTCTGAATGTCAGTGTGCAGTATTCCATTTGAAGGTATTGTCTCTCACCTGTAGGTTATCTCTTAATCATGTTGTCTGTTTTGTTGTGCTGGCATTTCTTATTTTGATATGAACTCATTTGTCTATCTTGACTTTTGTTACCTGTGTATTTAGAATACTATCTATCTTTTTCTTGTCTCTACTTATGTCTTAAGGAATTCCCCGTTTCCATATAGTCATTTCCGTGCTTCAGGCTTAAGAGTTAGTCAGATCTTTGATCCATTTTGAATTAGTTTGTGATTAGTTTGTGTGTGTGTGTGTGTGTGTGTGTGTGTGTGTGTGTGTGTGTGTGTGTGGTGAAAGGAAAGGATCATTTATTCTTCTGCACAGGCATAGTGTTTTGTCAACTATTTATGGGAGAGACTGTCTTTTTTCCACTATTACATTCCTGTCACCTTTGTCAAAAACTATTTGCATTGGAATGTAGCTCAATATTAGTCAAGAACATTTGACTAGTATGTGGGTAGCCTTGAGTTCTAGGCATAGCAACACACACACACACACACACGAGAGAGAGAGAGAGAGAGAGAGAGAGAGAGCACCAAACACATTTTTAGGATCCTTCCAGTTCAAGAAAGGATTTTTAATGTCTTGTTGGGAATAAACAAGCCCATACTAATGATTGGGCCTATGCAATCAAATTATTACAGTGGCTATCAACAATAATAGGATGAACAGGCTCTAAGTCACAGCACATGTGAAACAATGGAGCTGGGTAGAACTGGGAGCACCCCTTCAGGAAGCATTACCCATGTCCTCTTGCCAGTTCTGTCCTTATAGTCAACCTATGATGCTTTGCGGCTGTAGTTGTTCTTGTTCTGCTCAAGTCAGTGCTGCAGAAACACTGTCTCTGGGTGGTGGTGGTGCACACCTTTAATCCCAGCACTTGGGAGGCAGAGGCAGAGGCAGGCAGATTTCTGTGAGTTTGAGACGAGCCTGGTATACTAGAGCTCGTTCCAGGACAGGCTCCAAAGCTACACAGGGAAACCCTGTATCACAAAATCAAAGGGGAAAAAAGGTCTCTGAACATCAAGGATGGGTGAATGGGTCTCAGGTCTCATCTTGCTGAAGTTTGTGCTAACCAGGGGAGGAGGTGTTTGAAGGCAAGAAAGAGAAGTTCTTTGGTTTACTTGGTGGGAAGTGACATTTACAATGAGAGTTTCTGGCAACCAAAGCTCTAGGTATTAGGTGTTCTGTATCTTGTAGGTCATAGTCTTCTTTACCTGTTTTATTTTCTTTCCTCTTCATACAGAATTATTTTACTCATTATTTCCCCTTCCTAATAAGTTCAGCAAGTCTCTCTAGATCTCTTCATAGACAGAGAACTTTAAGCCACAGCTCCAAGCTTAACTTGCTTGGTCTCTACATAGTTCTGAATTAGTCTTAGTGTGGCATGGATTATTAAGGGTTTGGGTACTTTAAGGCTTGTCTCTCCCACCAGATGGTATGTATGTATGACTCTCAAGCACAGGATAAAGTTAGACTTTTTTGTCACAGAATGGCAACACATACTGGAACAAAATAAATGCTGAGTATATATTGCATGAATTAATGAATGTGCATTGGAAATTCTATTGATAAGTGTTCTTGGGGAGTATTTTTCGATGTAGGTAGACCTGGCTGAGTCTTCTCAAATGAGACAGTGTGGACTGAAGTCACTAGCTTTCAAGGTTCCATGGTAACAGCTTTCAAATTCCTATCCAGTTAGGCACAAATTTGTCACTAAAGGTTGATTCTATTGGCAATTAATAGTAGGCTGTGGGATCAGCTCAGTGGGAGAGTATGTGGTTAGTATGAAGTAGTTCACAGTGATGACAGCTTCAAGAATCCTTTGTTCTAAGCACCAAGCAGAATGAATCAGCTGGGACAGCACCAACACCATGTCTTCTTGTTGCCACTAATCTTCACCCCTCAATGTCAATGCTGGTAGCAATCACTATGCATTTGGCTTATTAGTGGAAGTTCTATTTTGGTAAAAAATGAATTCATAAAAATGGGGGAAGTGGTGCAGGTGATGGGAGAAGGAAGATTCATTACCACCCACCTCTGCTTCTACAGGGTGTGCTAGCACTTCACTCTAGAATGGCATTCTCCTGGTGAGGCACCAGGGTCTTCTGCCTTTCTCTCAAGGAGTCTGTGTTGGGTATATCCTCACTTTATTCCCAGTCACCCTGCCACAGCAGAAGAACCATTCTACTGTTTGGGAACACAAAAAAACTGCTTTTCATTTTTAGGTAAATGTTTAGCAAAGTTCTTACTGACCTAAACATGGTCATCAACTGCTTCTTTCCCAGTTAAATTATCCTGTTAACTATTTCACAAAACAATCTAATGGTAGCAGCCATTATGGTTGCATGTTCGCTAATATCAGTCCCAAACTTTCTTTCCTTATTGTTTTATCATGAGACAGATAAAATCATTCTCATGAGCATCTGAAAATGAACTATGTGCTTGTTACCTTCAGCACAGTTACTGTGATAATATTTATTTCAGGGGCATGGTCATGGCTCCAGTCATTTTCAGAACTCTCTTTTTTAGCATCACCATTAACTTGTTTCTTTTGTATTTTGTAATAGGTGGAATTCAGCTGTATAGCAATATATGAACAGAAATGTGAATATGTATATGTTTTCATGTTACTCAGTATTGTCATGTGTGCCTTATCTTTTTATCTTTAAATCAGGAAAGATCTGTTTTAGTTCTTATTGCTATGAAGAGACACCATGACCACAGCAACACTTACAAGGAAAACATTCAATTAGGGTGGTGGTTTACAGTTTCAGAAGTTCAGTGCATTATCATCATGGTAGAGAGCATGGTAGTGTACAGACATGGTGCTGGTTACATCTTCATATGCAGGCCACAGGAAGTCGACTGAGACACTCAGTAGTATTCTGAGCTAAGGAAACCTCAAAGCCCAGCCCCACAGTGACAGTCTTCCTCCAACAAGGCCATATTCACTTCAGCAAAGCCACACCTCCTAATAGTGGCACTCCCTGTGAGATTATGAGGCCACTTCACATTCAAACTATCACAAAATCCAAATAATTAATACGTGAGGAATGCTACTTCTGCCTTAAGTGGAGTTTTCAGTAAAACCTACAGTGGAAATATGATGGATTTTCTTATAATCTGCAGGAAATGTTTGATGTTATATTAGACGAGAATCAGCTTGAGGATGCATGTGAACATCTGGGCGAGTACTTGGAGGCATACTGGCGTGCCACTCACACAAGCAGTAGCACCCCCATGACCCCACTGCTGGGGCGGAACGTGGGCTCCACAGCCCTTTCACCATATCCCACTGCAATCTCTGGGTTACAGGTACTGCATGTTTGTTTGTTTGCCTTATAACTTTTGCAACCTTATTTTTAGGATCCAATAGATAATTAAGATGGAGACTCTAACTGTTCTTAATCTGAGGAAACATGGGGAAAAGGACAAAGTATTTTTAAAAACACTGGGGGCTGGACAGATGGCTCAGCAGTTATAAGAATGCTTTCTGCTCTAGCAAAGGATCCTGGTTCAGTTCCCAGCACCCACATGGTGGTTCACAACCATCTGTAACTCCAATTCCAGGGAATCTGACCTTCATGGGCATCTGACACACATGTGGTGCCTAGACATACATGCAGGCAAAATATTTATACTTATAAAATAAATAGAGCTTAAGTTTTGTTTAAAGGAAAAAAAAAAAAGAAACTAAACCTTATACTGACCTTGATCTGTCACTGACAAAGCCTGCCCTTTCCACAAGTTTCCTTTTCTGGAAAACTCTGGTATGAATGGATTTTACATAGATGAGTGAATCTCTGGTATACTTACCATCTAGTCAGTGAAATTGTTCGCACAACTTCTGCATGGCACCACGGATAGCTAAGCAAAATATTTCAGGTAAGATAGGCCTTTTTGGCTGCCTTTAACTATTCTTGTTCCACAGGCTACTGAACCTGCACCCCACCTTGTGCAAACAGAATGAGTGGGCAGATTTGGAAATGGTGACAAACCCCTAAATTTTCAGGGCTATCTAGAGGCCCACCTTGGTCTGTATAGGGAATCTGGGGATAAGCACAGAGAGTTAGAGCTCATCTCTTCTGCTGCTTCAGTCAGAACTAGATGTTACATGCCAGAGGCGTTGTGATACAAAATGAGTCCTGCTTTTCTGCATTAATTATTATTTACCATTTATCAAGCAGCTGGAATGGATCCAAATCCCAAGCTGAGAACATGCAGTCAAATGAGGCTCTTGGCAAGATGACTGGTTTTGTTTTAATGGGTTATAATGATAGTCATAATTGAAGATTTCGTAGAGTTAACTCTAAGCTAAATGGCACTCTCTGAAATGCTATTATAACTACATTACTCTAGTGCAGACAGCACCTTTGTAAGCAGAAAACCTTCAAAATAAATGAATTTATTTTGAGTCTAGAAAAGAAGTGGAAAATGGACGATGGTAATGTTCAGCAAGTTTGCATGTACTAGCATCATTTCTTGCCTTGTTTTCCTTCCTGTGTGTCTGTGTGAGAGTAACATTCCCATTGGCTTTCGCTGGCTCTGGCTGGCAATAAAGGGAATGGATGAATGATACAGTAAACTCTGTAGTGTTGGGGGATCTAATGTTGCACTTTGTTTATAACACATAACCCTATGACTGCCTACCTACAGCAGCTATCCTAGCATCATTAATGAGTTAATGTGGTGCCCTTTATTCTGTGACCTACTTCTCTGAGCAACCATAGGTATCTGTTAGCATGATTTCTGACCTACTGAATAAGTACCCTTCTATCTGAAGTTGATGCATCCAGACCCTTGGTTGTGTCAGGTTCCTGCTCTATAATCCTTGTGACCGACCTAAGCTGGTAGACACAGACAGGTGCTTCTAAAATGAGAGACAAAAAGTCAGACAACATATTCCGGGCCAACAAATAACTGCCTCAAGATGTTAATTTTCATTAACAGTATTAACTGAAATTATATCTGAAGATTATTTTTTCAGAACTCAGTTAAGAAAGCAAGAGTATATAGAGGCCTGACTTAGCTGGCTCCACGATACTGTGTATTTGTTTGGAAAGACTGCTACTGAAAGTTTTACATCCGTGTCAGATACAGAAACAAATGCATTATTTAGTAGATAGTACAGATAGTCATTTCATTAATTGTTAAGCTATAAGAAACATTAATCTAGAGCAAGATGAAGTAAGTGTAGTGTGTGACTTTAAGAAGGAAAAAGATTTTTATTTACTCATGAAAGAAATCAAATAATAGATCTTATTCTAAACTTTATTTCCCAATAATAAATAACACACATTTTTTTGCAATAGGAATGATTAGGCCCATATAAATAGATTAAGTTCTATATAAGAGTCAACTTTCAGTTCTGTGTTTCAATAGGAAGCATAGTCATGCAGCATCGTATACTTACAGTCATAAACTATCAGTAATAAAGCATCTGTGTATGGTATGTCCAAAAAAGAAAGTTCAGTTACCCCAAGCAGAACATTTATGTATCAAAATGCTTTATTAACTCAGATATTTACCTTCTGTTTTACAGATTTTGTTACTGAACATGCATTAACATGTTTAAATGAATGAAACAGACCTTATCTAACCAGTGAACTGTCTGATATTTTTAGAGTCAGCGAATGAGGCACAGCAACCATTCTACAGAGAATTCTCCCATTGAAAGACGAAGTCTAATGACCTCTGATGAAAATTACCACAACGAGAGGGCTCGTAAGAGTAGAAACCGCTTGTCTTCCAGCTCCCAGCACAGCAGAGATCACTACCCTCTGGTGGAAGAAGATTACCCTGACACATACCAGGACACTTACAAACCCCATAGGAACCGAGGCTCACCTGGGGGATACAGCCATGACTCCCGACATAGGCTTTGAGGCTGCCGAAACAAACAAACAAAAATACTCATCTGTTGACAATTGCCATAGCACTGCTAGGATAAACCAGTCATCTTAATTTGGCAAGTTTAGCACAGCATCTGCTGTGCAGGTGGGCTGCTGTCATTTGGTCTAAGGGGCAAGAATTAAGTAGAAGTACATTATGCCCTTGAGTCTAGATGGGTATTAGATGCCCAATCATATAGGTATTTTTAAGTGCTACATTTACATGATAACAGTACCTTTTGTTTTCTTCATAGATTTTAGACACGTCAATTTGTAATTTAGGGTACTTATCAAGGCACATATAAAATAATTTCCCATGTAGGAAATTCCAAATGACCAGTTCCAGTTGGAACCAATTTATAAACCAATTCCTGTTGGAATTTGGGTGAATTGACTGGAAAGTCTACTTGAGCATGTTGAAATCAATTGAAAAGTCAGAAGAAGAAGAAAAAAAAATAAGAAAATCAAACTACTAATAGAAACCCAAAACCAGTTTTGGTATTTATTTGCTAAAAGTTAAATTTACACTTCAAGTTGGAACGTATAAACATTTTAATAATATATTAATATTGCCAGGATGGCTTTTCAAACTTAACAAATGTACTGATAGTGCCCCCCAAAAAAATCTCAGAAATTTTAATGCAGAAATTATATAATTGCCTCAGATTTTAATATTTTTATTTTTGCTGATACAGCTGTTGTATTCAAAGTATTTTGCTTTTTGTTCAGTCAGTACTGTTAGCTAGTTTGAAGCTGACAAAGTAAGGGGGAAAAGGAGTTTATCATCAATGAGAATGGTAAAGGGAAACCAAAGCATGGCTAGTTATAGGAAATGGAAAATGAGGTGTTGTTCCTTTTGTTGTCAGTCTGCGTACACACATCTGGGGATCTGAAGTCAGAGAGCAGAGATGTGGCCAGACATTTCGGGGTATGGAGGGGATCAGCTCCAGAGGGGAAGCCATCTATCCCACTGCACCCCAACACTGGCTCAGGGGTTCCACCAGCACAGCTGAGTGTCTTTCCCTAACTTCACTTAGTATCTCTTTGAATATAAAGAATGTTGTTGCACTATATCACAGTTTTTAAATCAAACTAACAGCGTTTTTGTTTGCTTTCTGTGGACATAATCAAATTAGGTACTGAAAGTTGTTTACACAAGAATATAATTGGGAAATATTAAAACACTGTAGTAAAATCTTTCAGAAAGAAAAAAAAACTGACAGATTGAGAATATATTTGTTCACTAAGAGTGAGGCACTTGTAATGCGGGAGTTTGGAGACTGCTGTGTTTCATTGCTAGTGAACAGCCTTTAGATGGGACCAGTGACCCATTAAAGAAGACTTTAATCCAAGAAATGATTGAAATTGACTTTTATACAAGAAACAAATGTCTTTGTGAAAGGACTTGTTTCTAAAATGACACAATGCATGTGTTTTCTAAAACCCCAATTGGAGCTAGACATAATGGTCTCTTTCTACTAATAAATGCTTTGAAGTCAATTTTTGAAAACAAGAATAATTTGAAAACAAAAATAATTAATTTTATATCATCTTTCTCCAAAATTTCAAGACCTGGGCCCTCAAAACTGTGTTCCAGTTCATTAATTTTCCTGATCTAGAGAAAAAGTTTCATATTCTTGATCAGTTATTCATATATTGAATCCCATCAACCTCATGTACCCTCCCCTTGTCTCGACTATATGTGCAAGTGTTATGAACCTGCTTACCTGATAACGAGGCTGCCTGAAATTTTGTAAGTAATCTCAAACATTTGACACATTTAAACACGGGCTCAGTAAAATGGACAAGCTGACATATGATACTGGCTTGTGAAACTCTGTCATCTAGCAAGGCTTACAAAATTTTCTGTTAAGACATTTAAGAGAGCTGTGTTCATTGGGCTCTTTAATAACCATATAATCTTCCATTACTAAATACTTTGCTAGAGCACAGAAGAGCATTTTCCAGCAAACAAATATTTATTACATGTATAGCACATATTTGCATGAGAGAGAAACCATTAGCCAAACATTTTCCTGTATGCTTTCCTGGTTTCTTGTTTGTGCGCGTTAAAGCATTCAATTGCAGAAAGTGCACTGGGATGTATAAATTTAGAATAGACTGCTGTTCAGCTTTTTCTGCAGTAGCATTAGCAATTTGGTCATTTAACTACTTTAAGATATTTATATTTTATGGTGGGTAGCTGTAACAGCATTTACACATATTTCCTAGTCAACAAGGGTACCATTTCTTTCAACTTTGAAGAGTCATTTGTTTTGCAAGCCTCTCCAGCCTTTCCTTTTCCCCATTTTGCTCTTCCATGTCATGCTGAAAGAGGAAGGACCTTTTAATCTATGCACAAAAAGTCATCCATCATGTGCCATTAAAAGCCCATACCTATTTTGCTTTGCATTTCTCTTCAAAAGCTAATAATGTTGGAAAGGGTAAAATGTGTATTTCTGATGGATGTATATACTATTCTGCTTTAATTTGGCATATCCTTCATCTTCCTCTTATTACAAGTTTCTCTCCTCCAAATGAAGAAGAGATAGACTTTCCTTTCTTTCTGAAGGCTGAATTGCTTGTATAAATGACTAAAATACAGATATATACTAAATAAAAGTTTTATTTTTGCCAAGCATACCAAGAATCTCTAGGAAATACATATTCCACAAGTACTCTGTTTTAATTCATTTAAATGAAAAATGATGACAAGCAAGAGAAATATGTCTATATCATTTGAGGCTGTTTTCACTTATAGAATAGGCCATGTTAGAATTCTGTGATTTTTTTTTTTATGATGTGTAATAATGCAGACTCGTCCAACAATTTGGAAATGTGGTGCTGGAAAAGGAAGAAATGCAATTTGTGGGTCCTTGTGTTTATTTCCAAGGCTATAATGTCACTACAATATCATAGTCAACAATGTTGCCTTGTTTATGCTAACACTTAAAACAATGTGTAGTGATATTTATAAATGACTGATGACTTGCTCTCATCTGTATATAGGGGAGAAGATTTGGATTTTTAGTTACTACACACATGTTCTTTCCTAAAAAGAGTCTCAATTGTGTGACTACATAAATCATTGCATTTCATCCTTAAAGGAATGAATGAGTTTTAAAGTATGAAACAAATTGAGACAACTATTAGTTCCACTTTAAAAGATGTGTTATTTACTCCAATTATTATTGTTGTTTGCAAAAATGTATTTTTAGAATGTTAACCTCTTTTCATACCTGCATACTTGAACTTGTCTTTTTGTGTGGGGGCCTTAAATTTCATAATAGAGAAAGGGGAAAATAAAAAAAAAAAAAAAAAAAGGGAATGAAGACAAGGAAATTGTGGCAATAGGTAGCTCACAATCTTCAGATCTTTAAATGAACATATCCCAAAATATTGAGACACGGTATGTCAGTTTAGAATGTTTTCTAGGCAATCTTAATTTACAAGCTAGTATATTTTCTTATATAATTTTATTTTGATATTTGCTAAAACAACAACAACAACAAAAGAAAACAATACCACCATACAAATTGCCCTCTCTAATGATATATGTATACTACCTCTTCTCTGGAGAAAACAGTCTGTCTTTAAAGGGAAAAGTTCTAATCCTAGAGTGTCTGTTCTGCCAACTTTGCTGCAGTTAAGTGCTTAAAAGTGTTAAATATGCCTGCCCTTTAGATGTTACATGGTTTTCAAATGTGTTATCCACGATTTCATTTCTTCCATGTTAGTAAGGTTTTCTTGGAATTGATTCATGGCTGATCATGAAGTGATTTTAATTTAACAAGAAGCCATCCTAGGGAGCAAAGCAAACTGAAAGGAACTACCACTGTGTGAAAAGTGTTACCTATAGGTCAAGGTCTAAGGAAGAGAAATGTAGAGAATTGTTTAAAGGCAGAGTGGGTTGATCCTTGAATTGTATGGGCACCAATGGTATGCTGTAGCCACTTACTTGGTGTGCATCTGCATTGTCTAGAACTCCTGTGTAATTGGAACAAACTTCATATCAATGTTTCAAATAAATGCTTATGTAACCTTTATTCCTTTATATTTGCCTTTGTCTTTCATGACAGTGTTACAGTTTTTAATGATATAAAACTCATCCTTTAATAGCCACAGTGAACTCTTTACAGGAATTATGTAATAAAATCTGTTAGTCCCTTGTATCTTTAAATGCTGTAAACACTGTAACTGTTAACTAGGTTACTTACTCCAGCTGTGTCTATGTGGCAAACAACAGTCCTTCTCCTTTAAATGATAACGATGATTAAACCAGTCAACGTAAGAGCTGTTAGATGGACATTAAGAATAACTTCTTGTTGAGTTAAGCAATCTAGTTAATCAAACTAGTAAAACTGACTAAAATGAGCAGATACCTACAGCATTTGGAAATTACTCTTCAAGGTTTCTTCTCAAATTAAAAGAACCTTTCAAGTTAAAAGAGCCTTTCTCCAATGAAACACATCCTCTGATAGCAATGTCTTTATCTACTTGTGGATAATTTAATACCAAATGCTGCATGTAATGAAGGTGTATTTTTAAGGAGATTAGAAAGTATCTCATCAGATAATCTTAATTAAGGGCTGTAACTCCTACTTGCCATATAAATAAGAGGGAATAGTGCTGAGCTTTGGGGAGTTATAATTTTTCATGAAACTTTCTTTTTGGTGAATGTAAAATGTTCCCAGAGAGATGGAAGGAAATGTCACCAATGATTTTATAATAGATTAGGGAATACACTGAGTCTTCCTCATTTGGAAATTATAAAAAGTGAAAATGAGAACTGAAAGTAGCAGATCTCTAGCTTTTCAAGCATTTTTGGGTTATATTTTAACACTTAAATCTCCCAACAAATGGCTATGTCTATATTTATGCAGGGGCTTTTCCTGCCCTACTTGCATGCCACTTGACACACTTCATGGACATCAGTGTGAATCCTGTATGCACAGGGGTATTATAGATGTGGGGTCATTAACGCTCTATTGTTGCATACTATTTTTCATATGCCTTACAATATTTTCTGGGATGTTATTAAAACGAAAGCATTTTATTGCCAAAATAAATCTATGTTGTTACTTCTGCATTAGCAGTAGAAAAATAATGTAGCAAAAATATATATTGTACAGTACAAAATTATAATATATATATATATATATATTTTGCCAATAAATGAAAATAGATTGAGGAGAAAGAAGCACATGTGTTATAGCACAAACTTACAACCTAACCCATTGTTAAATTTGGCAGTCCTATTTTTAGAAGTATGTAGATTTGGTCTTGTGTTTTATCATATTCATTTCATCTCTCATCTTTGTAACTTCGCTGCTTGATATTTTCCAGCAATTTATTTCATAGCCTTCAAGCTGTGAGTGTAATTTACTTATTTTATTCCCTTACTTAAAACATATACATTTTATTTTGTGTTAAGAATCATATTATTGTATTTTCTGTTGTTTCTCCTCCTTTGGTAACATATGGCACATGGGTGAGCTCATGGGCTCCTCTGGGCTTTGAATGTTTGAAAGTTTATGTTTTTCCCAGCCTCAAGTTAGAGATCCATAAAATGTCCCCATGGAAAAATATTAAGTAGGGATTCTTTGTTTTGTTTTGTGCTTGATACTATTTGAAGCATAAGTTAAATCCATTAGCTGTATTTTCAAGAGGTGGGAGGGAATAAAAATAACATTATTAACAGGAAACATACTAAAAATAACTATGGCAAAATGATACAAAAAGATTCCCCCTGTTCTGAGGGCTGTTGTTATCCCAGGTTATCCCTAAGTCTCTGCTGATGTGGTGGGGAAAATGCCTTTGTCAAATAACTTTCCTTTTCTTTTGGTTACTTATTTTAATAATTTGTCCCTTTCATTTTTGTTATATAGGTATGCGTAGCGTTCTACAAGGCATGCTGGGTAAAATACACTATGCAAATGTATACGTGCTGCATGCTTTGTTCTCCCTCTGCTTTAGTGGCTTTAAAGAAAAAATGTGGTGTTATTTTTGTGAACAAAGGCACTTAACAAAGAAAATACAGAGTGCATGCATACAGTATCCTAATTTCTATGGATTTGTTTTATGGAATTTAAATGTGTACAAAAAACTGCATTCATTTTTTCTTTTATATAATAAATTAAAAAAAAAAACAGTGAAACCAGAATTCTACCTCTCATTTATATTCTGAAAAAATGTATGGAGGAAATGCCCGAAATCGTACAGAATATTCCTGTAGCTTTTAATGGAAAATAAATCTATATGTTTACTCTTTAAAGGGAAAAAAAATGATTCAATGAAGTGACTATTTCCTGATTATTCTGCTAGATTCTATGAGTTATCACAAAAGAATGTTGCACACACATGTAGGAAGTGGAATATACCAGAGTAAATGTGTGAAGTAAGGCTGAATACAGAAAATATACTAGGTAACCCTTAATGTTCTCAAGAAACTCTTAAATAGTTAGTGTAGCAGTTGCCAGAAGTTTCCAGAATGATAGCTCTGGAATTCTGTGGTTGGGATACAGATTGTGACTGGACCTTTCACACACACCCCAGAGTCAGTTGCCTGTGTTCTGTAATAGACTGGAATTTGGCTTTCATCTCATTGCAGTGTACTAGAAGCTCAAGGGACATATGCAAGATGTTAGTAGAATTAGAACTATACAGTGATGTATTATAGCCAAGTTATTCCACAAACTTTATCACGTTTAATTCATGTGAGCTCCCTGAAAAAGCAGGCAGAGTATAGGTTAATATACCCAATTACAACTAAGAAAACCCAAAGCTCAGTGTCTTTTTTTTTCCCTCTGAAGTATTTTTTAAAAAGAAAATACACATCAAATGCTCTCCAGCGATGTAGCAAACTGAAACACACAAAGTGTGCAAACACAGGTATTGGCTGTATGAGTAATTTTGTTATTGGAGGGGTCTACCTAAGACCACCCATCAGAAGTTCCCAACTGGAAATCCACAGTTCCTTCCTGTTGCATTAACTGGATATATGCCTGAAACTACCTTTGTCATTAGCACATTTCCATTGGGCTGTAGAACAAAATCTCTTGTCTTTTCATATAACATGCAGGTCAGCATAGTGGTTTAACTGCCTTCCACAATAACTAACTACAAGTTGTTCAAAGTCCCTGTGTTTGTCCACTTCTTGTATCCCTTTGTGGAACATCAAATTTGTTTCAAAAATCAGTTGCTCATTTGGCCAACGTTTATCCTCAGTCAGGCTCCTTTAAGACTGATCTCATTTGTGGGGGCATTGTGGGGGTAAGTCTTAGATTTAGCTTCTCTTTTAAGATCCAGGCATCTACTGAATGCCCTACGTGTGAGTTTTCTCTGACTGAAGGGATCACTTTATATTAGTGACTCGTTAACACTTTGAAACAATTATCTGGGATTATTTTGCAATAATCCAGGTATGTTTTCTCCCTAGAAACTGTTACTAGCCAACTAGGGTTTCATCCTATACAAGTCATATGGAGCTGAATACTCAATAGTCTCCTAGTCTGATTTCTGTAGATTTTCTTCCTTCTTTCTCTCAGTTACTCTACTTCCCTAAGTCCAGTCTCCCTGACTATGGAAACACAGACTGTGTCTTTGTGGTAAGGGACTACCCTATTCTTATTTGGCCATCCACTCCCTCTGGAGTTAGCTGGGGATTGTTTTTGCTAAGGCAGAAACAAGGGGCAATAGTAAAGCTCACTCTTTCTCTTTAGTTAGGTATCACAATCCAGATCACAATCTGGAAACAGTTATTTCCTGTGTTGTATCCAGTGCTTTCCTTATTAACAGTAGATTGGTAAAGCAGACATTTGCTTTAAAGTATGAGAACATAAAAAAGTCTTTTATGGCATTTTGCTCATGACTTTAAAAATTGACAAAATATTTAGAAGGGCTCAGAAGGGAGAAACAGTTTGACATCCCTGTTAAAGATTCTTAGTTACATCTATAGTACCAATTTTGTATTTTATCTATTAAAGTTATCAAAGATTCTACTAGCCAAATATCTCCCTTGGGGGGGGGGGTGAGGGGCACTTGGAAAATAGTCTAAGAGACCATTTCCTTAATAGAGTTCTAAAACATGAAGCCCTAACTTCACAAGTAAATATGGGTTTGGAATAGTTAATAAGTTGCCAAAGAAGTGTGGGAGTTTATAAAAATGTCTCAAGAGTTGCTAAAATGTTGCCTATACTAAATGAGAATGGAAATACTAAAGAGTTCATGTAAGTCAGTGATGCAAACATTGTTTTTTTTTTCCTGAAAAGTCCACAGGCTTATTAAATAAATCCAGATATAATACTCTAAATGTGCAAACTAATGATTTTATTCTCCTTTATGTATGTCTCGAAGATTGGCATTTAGACACAAGACCACAAATAAGACAAAGAACTTCCTTTTCCATCTATTGAGATAAGACAGTATATGGTTAGGAGGAGAAGGAGGAAGGGTCTAGTGCTTCATTTCTCGTGGCTGTCGTGGATGAACGAGGTGGTTAACGAGTAACAGCTACAAGAGCCTTTCACAAGTCTCCCACGTTTTCCCATCTCTACCCTTTTCCTTTCCTTTTTCCATATTAAAAATCAAAGTTAAAGAGACTAGAAAGAAATGAAGCTGCATCTGCTTTTTGTTTATTTTTGTGGAAGAAGTAAACAACCCCAGCTCCTCTTTCTTACCTACTCCTTTTACAGGAGTTAAGACTATCAGAGTCGTCGGAGATCAAACCTACACTTCTACATCAGGAATATTGAGATCTAGAGATCTACGAGAAGTAGACAAAAACAAAATAAACACGAACAAGAACTCTCCTGATCAAGTTCACCAACGATTACTTATATTTTAGTTTTCAACCACTTGTCCTGCAGCAGAGACAGGGCTGGATACTCTCATACTCAGAGGCACAACTGTCCAAATTGTAGACGAGAAGATCGAAGAGTACAGAGAATATTTAGCCATCTATTTAACAGAAAGGTGACTCGTGAATGAGAGGAAAAGACACTTGGGACCATAAAGAACAGTGAGTGTGTCTACCGTGTTTTGGGACTTGACCGCCTAGCACTGACAACTTTTGTGAACACTAAAACGGGGGAGACTTTAGGAGAACTGTTCTAATCAAGAGTGACCTAAGCATGGAGCAGGGAAAAACGCCAAGATGGAAAGACAGAGGTAAGAAAAACTACAACGACGTAAAAAAAAAACTAAAAATAAAAATAAAGGCCAACGACTTCAGCTACCGTCAAGGGGTAACAGGTTCAACAGAGACTTAAAGCTTACCGTCGTCGGGCCCAAACCTGGGACTTTTGTGTGTGCAGGGCTGGAGGTGGGCATGGTTACATACTTGCAATGTGGCTCCAGGCTCAGAAACAACCTCAAACCTGGACCCCAGCACGCCAGCTCCGAGCGACCCTCTCTCCCTCTGCCAGCCCTCCCCGCTGCGGAGGACTCCTGTGCCCGCCTCCAGCTCCGCGCCTGCGCATTACCCCACCCCGCCCCGCCTCGCCCCGCCCTGCCCTGGCGGCTACTGGAGAAGAGCTGGGGGAGGACGGTGGCCCGCGAGGCTCGAGCAGACAACGCGGCGGCGATGTCCGCGAGCCAGGCGAGCGCCGCGGCGGTAGCGGCGGGGCCTCGCGCGTGGCTGGGCGGCCTGGGCTGCGGCCTCCCCGCGGGTCCCTGGGAGCGGGCGCGCGGCCGGCACGGGAGCAGTGGCGGAGGCCCCGGCGCGTCCTTCTGCCCCGCAGCCTGAGCCCGGGCGGCTGGAGGGCTTCGCTGCCCGAGGATGGGAATTCTCTTCACCCGGATCTGGAGGTTGTTCAATCACCAGGGTGAGCCTGGGCCGGGCGGGGTGGTCCCGTCGGGTCGCCTTTGTCTCCCGGGAGCTGGGGAGGTTTCCCTCCTGCCGCAAACCCATTGCTCCGATTTGATCGCCAGCGTAAAAAGCGTCCTGCCCGACGCTGGGGGCTAAGCGCGCACCTGGCCTGCCTCCATCCCCGTCGCCTGCCGCCGGCTGTTCGGTTTGGGCCGCACGGAGAAAAGCTGGGCGTCAAGGGTGAAAGCTGGGGACCCTGCGGCGCCCGCCACCGAGCCCACGGCTTGCAGAATGCGGAAAACTGGAACTCGTGCTGGGCTAGTCCTGTTCGCTTGGGGCGGCCAGCTTTGGCGGAAGCGGGGAGACCCACGCCGGGGAATGGTGATGGGTGGCTCTCCTTTGCCTTGTTTCTGTGGTAAAGGTCAAGCCTAAGGTCGTTTTCCATCTTGGAAGTAAAAGGGTTTTTTGTTTGGTTGTTTGGTTGGTTGGTTTGGGCTTTTTTGTTGTCTTTTGGCCCTAGTTAATGTGTTTAACTGAAAGCTTTTAAAAGCACACCTCTGGAAACATTCGTTAGCATTGGGTAACTAGCAGGTTACTGCTTAAGTTCGCCTGAACGCAGATATTGCCACGGAATGCATAGGGGATTTATTAAAACAAAACAAAACAAAAATTGCAAAACGAGTGTGTGAAACCGGAGAGAATACAGTGCTAACAGAACTACATAGTTACTAAAATGAAATGTAATGCCTTTTTAAAAAATAAACTCTAGTTGAAACCCATTCCTTCTCAATAGCATACTGTTTTTCTCCTGTATAAGCTGGTGGCGTTGTTGCACCCCTACTTTTTCCTACTTTTTCCTACTATTTAGACCTGTCTGTTCCTCCTCCAGGATACAGCCGGCTTTATGGGATGACAGCACACTGGGCCTTGTAATCCCCAATGGGATTTGCTTTTTAATAATAATTTTAAAAATTATAGTTTTTATGATAGATAACGTTACTAAATGAAGTGGAAGGTGGTAAAGAGGATATACCCATCAACAGTCTGGTCAGCAGAGTGTGTGGGGGTGGGTGGGGGAGGGAGGTATTTTGAGTTTCTTTACAATTCTGTGGGTCTAGACACTCACCTAGAACAGGGGGAACTTGAGGGGGCCTACGGTTTTTGAAAATGTAATCTCTAGTTGAAGTACTAGAGGTTACATTGTTGTAAAACTGGTAATGTTTTTGTGGGTAATATGTATCTAGTTCTTTCCTCCATAATCTCGAATTTAGTGAAGCCTGAGTTTCAGTTCTGCATTAAAGGGTCTCTGGTATTGTCTTCACTTTCTTCTTTGAGCCAATGATAAAATTGTTTCTGTAACTTAAAAATGAATAAGGGCTTAAAAAACAAACTCAGCTACTTGCAAATAATAACAAGAATGCATTGGTATCACTCACTATACGTTGTATAATCTGCATTTTGTTTTACTCTTTGCCTGAACTTACTCAGTGTTTGAAAATTAACAGAAATAATATGAAGAAATGATTTGTTAAATGGTGTGTTCACTGCTCAGTCTCACATACTTGTTGGTATTTTGGATCTGTTTTAAATGGGGCACATAAGTTAGGTATGTCTTCAATACGTTTTACAGAAGATTCAGGACATGTGTCTATATTCTTTTCACAGACTCACCTGGAAAGAGGCTTTGGGTATTTGCAGAGTTTGTTATGTTGATGAACTCAGAGCCAACTCAGTAAAAGCCATGATAGTAAACTGCCTACTGCTAGAAAGACCATAGGTTATATGTAAGTGATACACAAATTCAGGAGAGCTCAGACTTTATTCTAGATATTGTGATTTATTTACATCATTAAAAAAGTATCTGAAGCTGAGGGTGTAGCTCAGTTGGTTGAGTGCTTGCCTACTTTACCATCCCCAAATGAGAGATTAGAGGATGTGGTAGGGGGAGAGTCATCCTAACACTCAAGATTCCAAACTAGGAGGATCAGAAGTTTAAGGTTATCCTAGGCTGCATAGTGAATTCAAGGCGGTCCTGAGCTATGTGAGATTCTGCCCCCCCCCCCAAAATAAAAAATAAAAAAGAAGACGTTTCGGCAGTCCTTGTAAGTAGTTACTTCCCTGGAAAAGAGGAAACAGACTCCTACCAGACAAGGTAGGAGTGGCAAGGACATGACAAAGAAATGTGGCTGCTTATGGTCTTTCCTTTTTTTCTCCCTGTTGACTCAGTTGTTGTATTGTGACTCTTTAGATGTAGGCTTGCCGTTAATAACTCTGTCTACAGGTGGTTTGTTAAATACTTACTCTAGGTCATCACTTACCCTAGGTCAGTGTTTCTCAACCTGTGACTCTTTCACAGATTTCTAAGCCCATCAGAAAGCATGGCTATTTACATTATGATTCATAACAGTAGCAAAATTACAGTTATGAAGTAGCAACGAAAATAATTTTATGGTAGGGGCCACCACAACATGAACTGTGGAAGCATTGGGAAGGTTGAGAACCACTATTTCTGGTGGTGGGAATAAAACAGACAAATCTCCATGCCTCTCTGAAGTATTTATTGTAGTCTAGGGCAGCAGAAAAGAAACTCAACCTGTCTCTACAAATAAATGAGCAGCTGATAATATACATGACTTTTGCAACACCAGATTCTAGGTGTTTCACTGGGGTTGGTTAATCTGCCTCTGTTGCATTACTCCTCCAAACAAATACACATTTAAAGCCTTAGGCTTTAAGCAAGGGTCTCTAGAGCCAGCATGTTCTCACCATCTCCACACACTCCTGCACGCACACACCCTTTATAAAATAGATGGTGGATGAGAACCTTTCTGATGCTGAGGCTGTGGAGCTCTCCCCTGTTCACATCCTTGTGTTGCCCTACTTATTGGTTATTGGGAAGGGAATCAAGTTATGAATGAGTGCTGGCAAAGCTGCTTACTGCCTAGATCTGGTGTTGAAGATCTGTTCCTGTTTTTATTCTTTTTTCAAGGGTATTCAAACATGCAGGCAAGTACAGAAGGAAAGTGACTTGCCTAGGAGTGCCTGTCCCTCATCAGGATGCTGCCTGTTATGCACCCTTGTCTGCATTCTCCCTGGTCAGCTGAACAGAGTGAAGCTTCCTGAAGGGACACTGAAGGAGGAAATGCTTGTTCTCAGTGACAGTGCTAACTGGACAAGCCCATTGTAGCGCAGGCACCTTTACCCTTAGTACCTGGCTCTTACGTGGCGTGGTGATTAGTTTTATCTTCTTACCAGTCTGTTGTTTAATCGGCCTAGATATTTTCTTTGTAAAACTTCCCAACCTCAAATTACTGTGTGATTTCTGTCTCCTACATTTTGCATATCATTTCTTGCCCCTTCCACCATCAATTTGTCTATGCTCCCAAAGCTTCCTTACTGTTTTGTGAATAGCAAACTTACTTTCAGCTTTTAAAAGTAAAATTTATAATGCCTTTAAGTCCCCCAAATTAAATGTTTAGTATAAACTAGCTTGATAGACAGTGCTTTGCTAATCCTTGTTGTCTTCCAGGCTGATTTCTTTGTTTATTGAGAGAGAGATTTCATTACTGGCATGCTTTGCTTCAGTCTCTGTACTGGCTGTGGGAACAGGAATGGATGTGGCAAATGGAGCTTCTACTTGAGTAGATGTGTCCTAGCTGTTGCTGTTGGGACACAACTTGTCATCTACACAGTGGTAGTCAGGGATGAAGATTTAGACAATATGTGGCTGCCCGTGTGCGTCAAAGAAAGAACCCATGGATCAAAAGTGTTTTTATGACAAAAGAGTATTGATTGGTAAGGTAAAGAAGCCCAGATCAAACTCAGAATCTCAGCAGAGAGTAATAGTGTGATGTTGTTTAGGCTTCCTTGAGTACAGGGATACTTGGAGAAAAGTGTTTTAAGTGAAAAGTCAGACAAAGCAGCAATTGCAGTGACTCACAGGTGTCAAAGAGTTGGAATGACCAAAGTCAGATTGACACTTGTCCTTAGAAACATTACTTGTAGTGTTCTGTGTTGTGGGTTCTGTACCTTCATAGTGTCTTAAAGCACACTGGAAGACAGGATTACAGCACTTGCTGGCTACAGATTTACATTCTCTATAGAATCCTGTCTGGTAATGAAAAGGACTGAGTGTTGAAACAGCATAGGCGGGTAAGGGAGTTGTAGTATAGAACGTGTATGGATGATCTAATCCTGTATCATATCAGGGATAAGCTAGTTTGTGACTATTGCATTGCCACCTTTAGCCTTTAGCCTCTTACACAACTCTGTCTTAATGTTACAGTTCTCTTCATGACTCACATAGAGTATCTTTGATTTAGGAAACTACCAAAATGGTCTTTGATACTTTATTGTACGCACATTCTTCTCTAAAGTTGGAAGGAAATTCAGATTGTGGATGTGAGGCCACATAAGGGGGTGATCTACTGGATTACAGATTCCTCCCTGGGTTGCACTTCTGCCTTGGTATTTCCGTTCGGTTTGATTTGGGGTTTGTTTTTTAGCCTGTGGCTCTTTGGGGAGTTCTGTAAGTTTTGCGCATGTGTGATTCCAGTTTCTTTTCTTTTTGAAATGTCACAACAGACTTCAGTGTTACATTCCCTTTGTTGATGTTTTAGAAATCTCAGTTGGGGCTTGTATTTATGTATTTGGTGGTGGTGTAAGACTTGGGTAACTTTGTAAACTTAGGCAGAAGAGCATTTTCATCACAGTAGAGAATGGTGCTAGCAAAATTAAATAGAAAGTCGATGAGATAATCTGGAAAGGAGGTATATTGAGCGTCTGTCTGGATTTTTAGTAGCCAGCCAAGAAAGGAATTAGAAGATTTGGATTAAGATATTCCCCCTCTGTCACATTCATCCCTTTTCACTTTGTTCCCAGTGATGTAACTCTGTACTTGCTTTATCTGCAGAGGACATAGAAGGACATGTGGCCTCCAAGGTATTTCCATCACTTTCTTACCTTTCCTGCTCTGCCTTCACCCAGTCCTGACTTTTGCCTGTTAGGATATCCATCATTCTCTATCTTGTAGACTATAAAATGATGGTTCTCTTTGCCAGCTAAATATGCAGTGTCTGGGTAATTGTCTTTTCCATCTTGGATAGTGTTACCTGTTAAAAGCTCCCCACCATGCCTCCAGGTCTGGGGTCTCACAATGCATCATCCACCATATGCTCTCAACCCCCTGGTTTCTTTATTTCTAGGTACCCTATCCTTTGTTAGTTTGTATCCTGAGAAAATGAAATTCTTGAGGTATAAGCCTCTTCTGCCCTCTGCCTTGCCTTAGCATCTGTGTGGTTCTGTTTGGCATGCTTGCCCCATTTGTCCTATTGAGTATGTGGCCAGGTGTGATCCTCCCCTTACCCTCCCCCCAAAGCTTTCTTAGTTTTTTTTTTTTTGTTTTTGTTTTTGTTTTTTTAGATAATCCTTTCTAGGAGCTAAGAAAAAAAACTGTGGTTTTAGAATCAGGACCTAAGTCCTTGTGGGCATAGCTAAAGCAAAACAGTAACAAAGAACCACGATTCCTGTGCAAACTGGATGAGGGGTTCTAACATGAAAGCTACTGTTTTAGGAAAACAGATAGTTTTCCTGCCCGTGTCTCCTCCTGACCTAGGTATCTTTTAAAGCTCAATTTAGGATTTCATTAGAGACAAGTCTTTTTTAAATGATCCTTTATTGCACAAGGGTCATACCCCATTTGACAGCAGGCTGGCACTCATTTCAGCTACCTCTTCCTTGATGACCTTGGTGATGCCAAAGAGACCCTCTTTAAAACTCAGATTCATCCTTGGAAGTTAAAGGATTCATCAGCACTGAGAATAATGCATAACTCAGTACCTCAGGCTCACAAAGAAAGGATGGCAGAAAAGTAGCAGTCTTTTGAAGAGTGATGTCACTTCTGAAGTGCATGCATGCTCATAACCAACCACCTTAGGTGATTAAGGCCTGTGCAAACAGATAATGTGCTAATCATCCGTGGGCACATTGCTTGCACACACATGTGCGGTTAAGTCATTCTTTATAGTTATGTACCAGAGATTCCTGTCAAGTTCATTTGAAACATTTGTCTTTATTGTACTTGCTGGTGTTTGTTCTTCTGGGTTATTCATTTTTGCTTGTTGCTTTCTCTGAGTTTGTCTACTCTGGGATGGGATTTTGTTGTATTACTTTTGAACTGGTCCTATTTATTTTAGAATGTTTTAAGGACATTATTTCTTTTGTTGATTATAAATGTTTTTTTCTTTCAGAGTACTGGAAATCCATGTAAATTTTGTCCTGTAGCTAATTGTGGGGATAGTACAAAATGTATTCCTTGATGCTAAGACTAAGCTTATATTACAGAAAGGCTCTAATTTTAAAACTGAGTCTCACTCTGAAACCTTTGGCCTAGGGATGCTATGTAAACTATGCTAGCCTGGAATTCACCTGCCTCTGCCTCTGGAGTGCTGTGGTTAGAGAGGTACCACCACATCCAGTCCAAGAGGGCTCTAATTTAAAATCAGTATTCAACTAGGAAATTTCCTTTTTTGTTTTAATACCTGTATTAACAGAACTGAAGAAAGCATGCATCATCAAATGTGGAATGCTTACGCTTATAAGGGAAAAAGTAAAATTAGAAAGGCAGTTTGTATTAGTTAGAAACTTGCCTGGAAGAAAGGTTCCCTAGCTGGTGAATTGTATTACACAGTTCTAGTACAGACATGGCCCAACTGGGAAGCAGCATCCATAGCCATGATACTGGTTGGTAACACTTATTTGTTTGGAATCCCGTGCTTCTCAAGAGTTTTCTGATTTTAATTCAACCATAAAATACGCTTTTCCTCAGAGGAAATTGGTCATTGTTGCCTTAGTATAAAAACACTAAAAATAAAATAAAATATTATTTTTAAAAGTCTAAAATGCATAAGTCCCAGAGACAACTGTTGGGTTGGCTGTGAGTGGCTCTTGAGTGTTAGGTCAGGGTGAGGGAGCCTGTACTTGTCAGCTAGTTGGGTTTGTTTTAGTTTTTGAGATGGCATCTTACCATATTGCTTGGTCCAGTCTAGAACTTGTGATCTTCCTCTCAAGTAGTTCAGACCACAGCTGTGTGCCATTGTTCCTGGCTTGTCAAGTTCTTTTGAAACATTTGTCTTTTTTGTACTTGCTGGGGTTGTTCTTGGTTACTCATATTTGTATGCTGTCTACTCTGGGATGGTAGCAGGACTGAGTTTGTGGACTCAGGAGATGTAAATTCACTCAGAGTACTCAGTTGGTGTAACCTGGTGACTTTCCCATAGCTTTGTGTGCATGTGCATACCCCCCTTCACCTTCAAAAAGTGACAATCACATTTGTATGTGAGTCTGTACCTTCACCCTAGTCATCTCTAAGTATGAAATGTGATAGGCCCTCGGGTCTTCAAAAGGATGCTGAAAAACTATGAGGGTTATCATGTCACTTGAGGACCCTAGTGGTGCTTAGCTGCCTGTGGTTGTTACACTGGATTGAGTTAATTTCTATTACTTGATTTTGTAATCTTTATATAACATGAGTACCTGTATATTAGGGTTCCCCCTCTGGGATAAATGGTAATGCTGTGAAATGTCTTGAGTAGTAAAGATTTCCTTATGAATACCTGCTCTATACATGAAAGAATTATAGTAACCAGGAATGTAAATATTACATTCTTTATATTTGAAGGATACCTGATTTAAGCTTAGATTTGTGCACATTCAAATTATGATGAATGTTTTGCTGTAACCCTGGTAGAAAAGAGTAGAAATCCAGACCATACAAAATTAAGAGTTCCCTAGAAAAAGAATTAAAGAGAATTAGAGAGAAAAGAAAAGAAAAACAAGACACAAGAGACAGGGAGAAAATTTAGAAACTTTGATGTCCCAGAAGCCAGGAGTGAGTCCCTGCAACTGTGGTTTGGCAGCCTTAGAGTTGTTTGCCATAACAGGCCTGTGGGTAAGTATACTCGTTATCATTTAGTTGCCCGTGGAGAGGGCATTTCTCTTTTTTCACATTCCACATGGAGTTAACCCAAGGGATGCCTGAACTTTCACAGATCAATGACACTGACTTGTGGCATTTGTAATTGTTATGATTACATTTGGGGGTACTTTGTTGAGCCTAGACTTCCATGGGGCTGGAAAGCATAGTGCTTCCGACTGCTGGAGAGGCTGGAAGGGTGAGGGCTTTCTGTAGAGAAGAAAGTAGGCCTAACTGCACTTCTTGCTTGCTAGAATATTCTTTGGATTCTAAGAAGGTTTGAAAGAGTCATGTGCTGACTTATACCTCAGAAACAAAGGAAAGTAAAGTAGGGGGGAGGGTCTGTGTGAGTCTGTCTTAAGTCACTATTGGTTTGTTTATTTCAGAGCACAAAGTTATCATTGTTGGGCTGGATAATGCAGGGAAAACTACCATCCTTTACCAGTTGTAAGTATAAACTGTTTAAAGGTTTACTTTTATTGTTTCTGGTTACACTTTTTGCTTTTGATATTTGATCAATGAAATCAATGAAAAGTTATGTGGCTGCAAGCAGACTAGCCTTAAGCTAGGAGCAAGATTTAAACAACTTTTTGTGGTGAGCTTAAAGATTTACATTTCATCTAACATGCTCATTGTTTTGTATTGCGCCTCTTTGCTTTTAGAAAACAGGAAAATATTTGTTTATATAGTTTTCCAAAATGATTTTTAATATTCTTAAGCCATTATTTGTTTTATGTCCTTAACTGACTCATTGTATGAGCTCACAGAAAAATGACACTTGGGTATGAAATAGAGAGAGGAGTCATGCTGACTTGTCCCTTGATGTCATCTTGAAATGAACAAACTTCCTCACTGATTTTGTGATCTTTTTCCCTCTTAGTTCCATGAATGAAGTTGTACACACATCCCCTACAATAGGAAGCAATGTGGAAGAGATCGTGGTTAATAATACGCGTTTCCTGATGTGGGATATTGGTGGTCAAGAGTCCCTTCGTTCTTCATGGAACACTTACTATACTAACACTGAGGTAACATTCTTAATGCTGACACTTACAGGAGCACTCTGGGTCCTTGAGAAGCACTTGCATCTGAATCATTGCAGTCCTTTAAAAGTAGGACAGCAATTTGGCTTAGTGTAAACAGAGTCTACTGTGCTTGACCAGTCAGTCATCTTCCATTCCTCGGTCCATCAGTCAGATTGTTTGACCCAGTAGCTGCTTTTATAATGACTTCCATCCCATGATTTTGGATTGCATTTCTTTCTCACTATTTATATGTGGCTAAGTGGGAGAAACTCCAGCCAAGTGAAAGGATCCTTCTGTGGTTTGATTCCTAGCCAGGTTTTGCTATGTATTTTCTTTTATGCAGTGCAGTTGCACTTGAAATCTTCTGATTATAAAGCATTTTAGACATAGTCATATGGTTTTATTTGTGTTACGTTCCAAGAGAAATTTTCAAACCTTCATTCATCATGTAGAGCTATAAACTGACAAATCGCACCAGTGGTTTTTGTGGTGTAGATTATAAGACCTTAAAACTATTCTATACATATGTAAAGATGATATTTAAGTCACTAATGATGCCAAGTGTCTCTCACGGCCTGACTCCAGCTCTCCATTAGCTTTTCACCATATGTCTGGAAGAAATGTATGTATGGTTTGTAAAGGTATATGAAATGCCCACATATATATTGCTCCAGGGATTAAATTGAGAAAGGTGTATTGGAATACCATCTGATAGAATGAGCATCACAGTAATAAAGGCTGCCAGAAAGCTACCAAATGAAATCTTACAGTTGGTGAAAACTGAAGAACAAAAAGGCTGAAAACCACAATAGTTTATTTGGATATTCAACTGAGTTCTAAAAAATAAAAAATGTGTTTTAGTAACAGGCAATATGAGCGTACACTTTCTCCGCTTCCCTCTTGCCTTGTGGTGCTCTCAGAGCTGGAAGTACAGTGGGGTCTACTCTAAGAGCGGTAGTGTCACCCATCTGTTCAGTACAGCAGTGTCCTGAACATAGGAAGCTCCTATTTTTAGATGCTAACTGATACTTTCAGTTTGTTCATTTCAAGGTTTCAAAGGAAAGAAGTAAAACTTTTCTAGAAGCAAGTTAAATTTAGGACCTTAAGTATTTGGGTTTTATGTATTTATTTATTTTAATTGTATTACAGTGTAAATAGGGCTATAGGCCCTTTAGTATTTAGTAATTTGGAAAAGAAAAAATGTTCTATTGTGGTTAGTATTATATTCTTTTCTTTTTCTTTCCTTAAAAATGAGTAAAAGTATTTAAATTAGAAATGAGTCAGATCCTCAGGCTTTAATAAAGTAAGAATGGTAAGCATCTCTGGTTCTCTTACAATACAGAAAACTTTAATGTCTTAATATTAATATCATTTATAAGTACAAAATAACTACCTTGGATTTTCAAAATACCAAATACTCAAAGTCACTAATGATTTTTTTTTTTTTTTTTTTTTTTTTTTTTGGTGGTTTTTAGTTTGTAATAGTTGTTGTGGACAGCACAGACAGAGAAAGGATTTCTGTGACTAGAGAAGAGCTCTACAAAATGTTAGCCCACGAGGTAAGTCTGCTTGTGGTAGCAAGTGGGCATGGGCATTGTTTCACATTTGATTTCTTGTAAGGAGAAATATTTATCTGTTGGTCATGCCGGCTTGTCATTCATGTTTTGTGATTATGTACTTCCCAAATTTGAAGTGAGTCTGGAAGCATTAGAAAGATTGTGCAGACAATCCTACATTGATATTTAGCTTTGATAAATCTGATTTAGAGGTTTCAGTGAGCAAATAAATAAATAAATAAATAAATACATACATACATACATACATAAGTTCATTCTACCAAGTAGCTTTTCTTTTACTTTTTGGACTTATTATTTATATAGTGAATTATCATTTGACAGTTTGATAGGAACATCACAAATACCTGGATGTATAATAGTTCCTCAGTGCTCTGTTATCAAGCTAATATTTAAACCTAAGTTTTTGATTTTTTTTTAAATCTTGTTCCTTTTACCAAATGAAATTATATTATATGACTATCTTATAATTATGTTAAGTCCTTCAAAATACTATTAGTTATGTAGTCAAAATTTAAATAAGTTAGGGCTGTGGATATACTTTACTAGTAAAGAACTAGCATGCAGGAGGTCCTGGCCTTCACTGGCCTCAAACTCACAGAGATTTCATTTGCCTCTGCCTCTGGATTAAAGGTGTGGACCACATACACAGCCAGAGGCTTTGAGTCTGTGCAGTATACTCCCTATTGCAAACAAAGAAACTTCCTCTCATAACCTATTGAGGCCTACAGCGATAATAATATATGAATGTGAGAAATGTTTAAAAGGCAATTTGAGGCACAGCACATTCATTTAAGGAAACAATAATAGTGCCTTCCCTTCTTGGGCTTGTGACCTTCCTTGCCATGGGCTATTGTCTGACTTAGAGCATTAGTGATTTTCTCCTGTAAAGTGAACCTTAAATACAGTTGTAAAACAATAGGTTATACTTATAACAGCTGTGCCACTGTTACACCAGTAGGCATACATTTTCCTTGGGATCCATAGCCAACCAGGATTGCTGGTGACAGTTCTTCCCTGAGCAGCCCACAAGGTACCTTCCAGTACTATGAAAGCAGCCAGCCATCAGCAATGGAGCCCATTAACAACTTCTTTTTTCTCCATATCCTGTAACCAAAGACTGTATCTAGTTTTGGCCAGCAAGCTAGAGTAGTGGCACTACTTTATAGTTGGTGAGGCCTCAGGGCCTCCCTGGCTGACAACTCATTAAGTTTTTGTGTTTTTACTTTTTCTGTCCCTGTAATAAAACTGCTCTGATAAAATCAGCTTACAGGAGAATAAGTTTGTTTTCACTTAAGAGTTCCAAAGGGATATAGTCAGTCACGGTGGGGAAGGCATAGCAGAAGGCAGGAGCATGAGGCTGGCTGGTCACACGGCACCCATGTTCAAGAAGTAGAGTGGACTGTGTTACACAGCTTCAAGGTCTGCCCCTGGTAATCTAGTTCCTCCAGAAAGTCAGCTTCTGAAAGTTATGTCAGCTTCCCAAACAGCATCATGAGTTGGGAACCACATGGGGGTATTTCACATTCAAACCACACCACACAGAGTGCCTTTTTTTAAAACTGCAGTCTTACTGTTCTGAGTGCTTTTACACATCTGTACAAGTCCTCACATCATATAATGAAATCTTTTTACAAAGCATAGGCAGGATCTCTGAAAAAAAACAAAACAAAAAAGAAAAAAAAAAAAACACTGTAGTAAATGCCACTTGATCTTGGATGCCTAAAGAGGTACTAAAAAGGAAACAGCACAATGCAATACAGCATAAAAAGATCTCATCACATCTTTCTGTTTTGTTGTCAAAAGAGCAGTGTTTAGAATAGCATAGATGGGAGGCATCAACCTTTAGTCCTCCATAATCCGTAACCATCCTACTTCCTTGCCGGTGTTATTGCTGCCACCCAAGGCTGCTCCATACTTCGTTAATATCAGTAGTCTTAACAGGACCAGCTTGCACTGCTCAGCTTGGTTCAGGACCAAGTGAGAAGCAGAGTGCTTTTGTCAGAGTATTTTTTTTTTTACACTGCCTGCTATGTCTGGCACTGTCTTGGTTCTGACATGCTCTAGGCCATCATTGTACCATTGCTTTTATATCCGCCAAACCTGTCTGCACTCCTGGTGTGCTTTTACACGTATACACTGTAATTGCCCACTCCAAGGCATACTTAACACTTGGCTGTTTTATCACTTTAAATCTTCTGTAAACTGCTGCTCCAGCTTTTTAAGCCTTCTACAAATGTAATAGCACAACATTTGGCTTTCTGTTGTTTTTGTGGGAATTCCAATTTGACAGAAGTTTTAATCATGTGTCTTGGAATAGCCTGGGCAGACCACCTTTGACCTTCTCTCATTCCCTCTTGATTGCTTTACCATTTAACAAACCTGGTCTACATGCCGGTCTTCATTTAGGTTCACTGAAGCCTGACCAACCTCATAAAGATCATGTCCCACCATAGGGCTTAACAGTTAGTAGGGCATCAGCTATTGTACCAAAGTTCACTTGATGAATTTATTGACTTATTTACAGAAGTGTAAGTAAGGGCTAATTTAAAGGAACATGGCTGATACAAAAACAGTGTTACCTAAAAGCCCACAGTATACTGGTTAATTTGTTCTTAAAAGCAGCATTCCTGGAGCTCCTTTGCAACAGCTCTGATGATACAGAGTCTCTTTTTCCCAGTAGTCATTACTGGCATACAGCGCCGCGCGCGTGTGTGTGTGTGTGTGTGTGTGTGTGTGTGTGTGTGTGTGTGTGTGTGTGTGTGTGTGTTTTCTGAGATGTGCAAGGTGTTTACTCCCTGATTCTCAAGCTGTATACAATGTTCCAGTTGGGAGGAAATTGTTATGTAGCAGATATATAGAGTATGTTTTTTATTTCAGTGGAATTTGGTAAAGCTTTTAAAAATGTGGATACTTATAATGAAGTTGTATGTTACTATTGATTCAATGATTTCTTTTGAGTTTTGCTTTACAAATTTTATTATATTTCAGTTAGATTTTTAAAAGTTTAGGAAACTTGATAAAAAGTGGTTTTTGTGAATTAAGAATACATGTTTTGCTATTAGTGTTTGTGGTGGTTTGAATGAAAATAGCCTCATAGGCTCATAGGGAGTGGCACTATTATGAGGTGTGGCCTTGTTGGAGAAAGTGTGTTACTGGGGGTGGGCTTTGAGGTTTCAAATGCTCAAACCAGGCCCAATGTCACTATTCCTGCTGCCTGAGGATTTATATGTAGAACTCAAAGCTACCTCTCCAGTACCATGTCTGCCTGAGTGCTGCCATGCTTCTCATCATAATGACAGTGGATTAAATTAAACCTCAGAACTGTAAATTAGCCCCAGTTAAAGGTTTTCCTTTATGAGAGTTGCTGTGGTCATGGTAAATACCCTAACCAAGACAGTGATCATGGCTTCCAATGTGTACTCTTTCTTTTTTGGAGCTCAGATTCTGGCATTCATGTCTAACCTTTTGGGGTTTAAAAATACATCTTGGGGGGGGCTGGAGAGATGGCTCAGCAGTTAAGAGCACTGATGTTCTTCCAGAGGACCCGGTCAATTCCCAGCACCTACATGTAGCTCACAATGTCTGTAACTCCAAGATCTGACACCCTCACACAGACATACATGCAGGCAAAACACCAGTGCAAATAGAATACGAATCAATAAATAATTAAAAATAAATAACATATCTTATCATTCATTGTTCGTTCACTTACCAAGTTTTGATTCTAGTATGGAAGACAAGAAGAGGCTTACTTCTTTCCAATTGTATAAAAAGAGATAAAGCATTCTTAAATTTATTTCAGAGTGGAGTCTTATGGAGACATAGAAGGGGAAAACACATATATGTGCTGTCTCTTGAATATATATGTTTACTTTTAGCAGGAAACCTCTATTTGGTGACTCATTAATTAGCTGATATATAGCAGGCTGTGTTTCAAACAGCGCTTTGAAAACAGCGCTTTCAAAAAGCCTTTGAACCTTCCTGCCTGGGGACACTAATCTGGCCACTTCCCTCTCCCTTGTCTATTATACTGTATGAGGCCCAGAAAGTTCATGTGACTAGCCAGTTTTTTTAAGGAGCCAGGATCTGAATATAACAGCTATTCTTGAATGACTTTTATTTATAGGTACAAATATTCTTATTTAGACTCATTGCTAGGAGAAGATAAAAGGAGGAAAACACAGTACAAGACTGACTAGAAACTGAAAGGAGACTGAATAGAGAGACAGGTTGATGCTGGGAACCACAGGAGATCCATGGGCTGGAGCAGAGTCAGCAGGTAGAGCTCTGGCGAGTGACAAGTGGGTGAAAGAAGAAAGGCATATGAATGGAGTTGGATGCCTCATAGCTACTACACAATCTTTGTCGTTGTTGCTTTTCACACCAGGGTTTCTCTGTGTAGTCCTGGCTGTCTTGGAACTCATTCTGATATTAAGCAGGCCTTGAACTCAGAGATCAACCTACCTCTGCCATAAAGATCCACCTGCCTGCACCTCTCAGGTTCTGGGATTAAAGGCATGTGAAAAATGACTCTTCAGTTCATTCCAAAACATGAAACTATAAAAAGTTTTTAAAAGCTTCTCAAGGCTTCATCTTATAAAAAATATTAAACTTTGAATATAATTAATTTTAAAATCACTTCAGACACCAAAATGTAAAATTTTCTTTAGAATGACTCACATTCTAGAAGTTGTCTTCACAAATGAAGCTCTGTGAAACAAAGTGACAGTATTGGTATATGACACAGAAGTAGATGTTTGCATTTGCTGCTGTTTGCATGACTAAACTAATAGACATGTTACATACTTCTCTTTTTCTGTATGGACCATTGGACCCGGGGCCTCACATGTGCCTGGCAAGTACTCTGCTACTGAGCTATGTCCCCAGACTTTAAAAACCATGTTTGTTTTTTCCAGAGTCTAATTAAGCTACTCAGGCTGGCCTTGAACATCAGTCAGCATGCCTCAGCCCCCCAAATAGTTGTGAGATCATGGGCCTGCACCATCAGGCCTGGATCTTTCACATTCTTAAGATCACATGTGTAGTTTGTACAGTAAGGAACATTTAAATTCTCATGTGAACAAAAGGTCATCATTGTTTACCCTAAATTTTGATAGCTTACAAATACAATTTAATAAATATGTTTTCTGCTATTGTCATAATATTATGTTTAGTCTTGAGGTTATATAATAAAAAGCAAAGATTCCCTCTCCGTCCTTCTTAATATTTAAAAGGGTAAAATGCCTGTTTTATGGCTGTTGTTAGGATCATTTTAAATAATAAAGAACTCCATGATGCCAGTCTGAGATACATTAGAGTCCCCTAAAGTGTGGGTTTTGAGATCTAAAAAAAGATATTACAGTTTTAGTTGAGAGACCCTTTCTCTTTCTTTATTTTTATTGTTGTGTGTGGTGTTCATGCCTGTGGGTGGGGGTGTGTATTCACATGCTGTGCGGGTCTGTTGATGTTGGGTGTCTTAGATTCATCTCCATCTTTATAGCGGCAATCACCAGCTGAACTTGGAGCACTATGTTTGGGCATGCCTGGCCATACCGCTTTCTCTGGGGAGTCCTCCATCCCCCCCCCCCCCCACACACACACTTTTCCTGAGATCTGGAGTTCTGAGCTCTGCTCCTCATGCTTGTTAGCACAGTAGGCTCTTTGCCTGCAGAGATGTTGCTACACTATAAGACCTTTAATAACTTAATTTTTTAGTTCTACTTTAGGAGCTTCTCTAAATTTTATTACAGAAAACGATGGGTTTAAATTACTGAAAAATGGTACAGAATATGCTTCCTAACTTGAGCCAATATTTATATCAGAATTTTGTATTTTGAGGATGTAATCATTAGCAAACCTGGCCAATGTAAAAGAGTTCAACATATACTAGCTATACCTCTAGATGATAGGATAGAAATTAAATCATCCCACAGAAAATCAGTCTGCTTATTAACTCAGCCACATACCACCTATCAATAATAGTCCATTTTCATTTAGGATAAGATTTTTTAAAACCCTTATATCTTTAATAGTTACTATGTATGTTCAATTTTCATTTTATTTTTAGATCTTTGGACCAAACTATGTCTGAAACTAATTAAATATGAAGTCTTAAAAATGTTAACTAGCTACCTGTGTTCTTGTCTATTGTAACATAATCGGACAACTCCATCCTGCAGAGGGCACTGTAACTAAATCATTCTTGATTGTGCATAAAGCACTAAGCAAAATTACACACACACACACACACACACACACACACACACACACACACACACCACACACAGAGTTTCCATACTGAGAATTTATCCCTACATGATTGATTGATTGTGTGTTCAGATAATACCACCTGCATACACTGTTGCAAACTTACAATATGGTCATTTTCCAAGGAGTTTAATTCTCTTGTGAAATCGTGGTTGTGAAGGGTTTGCTTTGGGGATTGGAATAAAAGGGATGGTATGTACAGATAAACAGTTGGAACAATGTTGAGATAAGACTATCCCAAATTGTTCAGAGAGTCAATGGCTTGCTTATTGGAGTGTGTAAGATATAAGTGGTGGCACACACTTGAAATTCTAGCACTCCAGAGTCCAAAAAAGGAAGATAATGAGCTAAGAATTAGCCTGAACTGCATAGCAAGACCACAAAACAACTCACATGTATTAGAATATATAGTGAATGTTATTAATAAAGCAGAAAATGTAATGTGGAGATGTAAAGGGGGGCAGAGTTTTGGTACAGGAGTAAAGGATGACTATTAGTAGCCATTAAAGTTTGGTGTGGTTTTGTTTTGTTTTGTTTTTTGTTATTTAATTGATGTAATAGATGTTTCTTGTGCTTGAAAATATGATGTTAAGTATAAGCACTTGGGGCTATAAAGTATATCATTTAAGACTAAACATTTGGTGCTGGGGATCTTGCAGATAGCTCATTTGGTAAAATTTTGCTGCTCAAGCATGTGAATCTGAGTTTGATTCCCCAGCACACAATATAAAACAGCAGGCCTGGCAGCATATACCTGCAGTGGACACAGGATCACTGTGCTCACTGGCCAGCCAGTCCAAGCAAATCAGTAAGAAGCCCTGTTTCCAAAAATGAGGCAGTCAACACTTACATCTTACCACCACATATATCTGCATGGTGCATAAACTACACCCACACATACAGGCACACAACCATAGAGACATAACAGAAGTTTGTAAGCCCATACAAGGATTTGTTTATTACTGTCAGTCTATGAGATGTGAGGTTATATTGTGTAGACTGTTTAAATGTAGACTGGTGGGGGTGTCTGTAAGAATAAACAAAAAATAATTTAAAAATCAAAGATAGGGGGCTGGAGAGATGGCTCAGCAGTTAAGAGCACTGCCTCATATTCCAGAGGACCTGAATTCAATTCCCAGCAACCATGTGGTGGCTCACACCCATCTATAGTGGGATCTGATGCCCTCTTCTGGCAGAAAGACATGCATGCAGATAGAGCACTCAGTGCATAAAATAAATAAATCATTTTTTTTTTTTTAAAAAAAACAGGACCTAAGAAAAGCTGGATTGCTGATTTTTGCTAATAAACAAGATGTTAAAGAATGCATGACGGTAGCAGAGATCTCCCAGTTTTTGAAGCTAACTTCTATAAAAGACCACCAGTGGCATATCCAAGCATGCTGTGCTCTTACTGGCGAGGGGTAAGATGTCTTCTCATAAGTATCATATGTCTGTAAGAAGAGACTTTGGATGATTGTGTAATAAGATATTCAACATAGATGTACTTGCATGAACCAGCATGTAGGCATGTGGATTCTACAGCTGCTATAACGGCATAGAGAAATAAGAGTATCACTAAGCGCTGGAGAAGCCAGAAAGGATGTTTTTACTTTTTAAAAATATTGTATGTATAGGTGTGTTGCCTATGGCTGCACCACATGCATACTGTGCCCAGGAGGCCAGAAGACCGTGTTGGATCTTTGAGGATTGTGAGCCACCATTTGGGTGCTAGCAATTCACCTTGGGTTCTTAGCAACAGCAGCCAGTGCTCTTAACTGGTGAGCCATCTCTCCAGCCTCCAGGAAATACTTTGGATAATGAACCTGGGGCTGAAGAGCTACAGCTTGAGAACATGTCCTCCCTGGAGTGCTTTTTGTGTGGTGTCTTTCTTAGTCTACACACAGCTCTAGGTAAGTCCACATTTTATGCACAACAAAGAAGGAATAAAAGAGGATTTATATGTAAAGCTAACAGATGCCCACCATGGCCAGCAAATGTTGTCAAAAGGAAATTGTGCTGTCAAAAACTGCTGGAGGATGAAGAGTGTAGCTTGTTAGCAGAGTGCTAATCTATGTTTCAGACCATAGCCTGAACCCTCTGTCCCTCCCTATGGGGATTTGGACTATCATGTATGACATGAGAATCCTAGTTTCTAGATTCAAGGGTATTGGAAGACATGTGATTTGCCTAGGCTTGTGCCCAGAGCTGGGAATATTAAGAAGGAAGTAGTGGTGAGCTGTGTAAATGTGTGTCAAGGACTAGGAATTTAACAGTGAAAGAACGAACTCAATCTGTGTGCTGGGAACAAATGGGCAGGAGGAAGTCAGTGGTAATTTAAAGAGGAAGTCGATTTTAGGATAGCAGCCTTTAAAAAATTATTTATTTCCTGTGTATGTGCCTGGGTGTGTGTATGCAGGAACCTCTAGAGGTCAAAAGAAGGCATTTGGTCCCCTGGAACTGATGTTACAGGCATTTGTAAGCAGTCATTTGGGTGCTGGGAACTAAACCTGGGTCCGCCTAAGTGTAGTGAAAAGCTCTGAACTGCTGAGTCAGTCTCTTCAGCCCAGCTAGAAACTCTGAGTGTGGCAAGAAAAGAAAGGAAAGGGAAAATAGAGGAAGTTGGTATAAGGTGAAAAGCCTAAAGGAAGAGTAGTTTTTTTGCTACTTTTCAAAGATCTGAAGATCTGTATCTATTCAAAAGCAACAGAAAGGAACTTGCTATTATAAAAAGAGATCTTGAGTGTGGGACTGAGACTCTTGATACATTCAGCAGGGGCAGAAACCCAGAGATGAATGAGATAAAGTGACAGGATTTCTTTCCCTTTGAAACCTTGATAAAGGGTCAATGAATATGAAGCATTCAAATCAAATTACTGTGAAATAGACCAAAATCGTATGCCATTTGATTCAGTTGGTGGAAGATCATGAGCTATGAAGCATGGCCTTGCTTGACCACAGTTCTGCCATTTGCTAACCTTGCTAGAATCTCTTGTACTATGGGAAAGATTGCAGTCTTACTGCTGGGAAGATTAAGATGCCTGTTAAGCAGTCTCTGAAGTTTATTTCTGGTTAACGGCTGTTCATTTCCCAGTTTGAAGTCATTTATTGTTTTGTACTGTTTTCTGTCAGTTTAAAAGTAGTAGTCTAAATATGGAGAAAAGTATCCACTCGCAAAACCATCTGTTTATGCTTTTTATTTTTACATTCATACTTGATAAAAAAAAAAATCTTGAGTTTAAAAAAAAATTCAGGTAGAAGCTGGAGAGATGGCTCAGTGATTAAGAAAGTGTGCTGCTCTTGCAGAGGACTAGGGTTCTGTTCCCGCATCCATGTCAGATGGTTATATGTAACTCCAGCTCCAGGGGATGTGACATTCTCTTTTTGCTTCTGTGGGGTACCTGCCCACATGCGTGCATACATACACTTAAGTAATAAAAAGTGAATCTTTAAAGAAAAGTTTCTGTGGTAGGCTTTTATATCTACAATGCTCATTATAGATAATAACACGACAGTTTTGGAGCTTATTATACAATCACTAATGACTGTTTTCTTCTGGCTGGGCATTTGGTTTCTCTTGTCACAAAGATAATCCCTTTCTGTATTTTGAATTAGTTCAGTTACTTATTAGTCAATACAAAATAATAATGATATGCTTTATTGCCTCAAATATTTTATATATAGTTATATGTTATATGTTTAATATATCCCATTACTTTCATTTTTTGTTTGTTTGTTTGGTTTTGGTTTTTTGAGACAGGGTTTCTCTGTATTGCTTTGGAGCCTGTCTTGGAATTTCCACTGTAGACCAGGTTGGCCTTGAACTCACAGAGATCTACCTGCCTCTGCCTCCCAAGTAATGGGATTAATTTGTGTGCTTCCAACTCCCAGCCTTGATGAACAATTTTTTTGTTGAGTATTTTTGAAAGGGAAGTTTTTACCATTATATAATATTAGTGTTCTGTAATGTGTTGGTTTTTGCTGATTCTAGATATTCAAATTTCTCTCTTTCCTATTAAAAATGCTTCATTGAATGGTCTTATACAAAAATCTGCTTTCCTCTTGATTTTTATTTTTGGGATATATTGCACTCTGCTTTTTTTTTATGTTTGTTTGTTTGTTTTGGTTTTTGTTTGTGTGTGTGTGTGCTTGTGCGTGCATGTGTACCTGTTCATTCCATGGGCAATGATCATGTGAGTTCCCTAAACATGTTAGGCACTGTTCTAAGCATTAAGGTAAAAATGACTCTAAAGCCTACGTGGCCTAGTATGTCTGAGTCCATAACCCCTGAATTGACTGCTACTGCTCCCACAGTTTTCGTTCTTCAGATTAATAAAACCTAGTGTATAGTGTATAGCCTGTAGCTTTAGTTCATAGTGTAGTCACATGAATTTTCTTTTCTTCACAGGTTATGCCAAGGACTTGAGTGGATGATGTCACGGCTAAAGATCAGATGATCTCTACTGACCTCTTCCCACAGACTCTTATCAACAAAGTGCTGACTTTACCTGAAAGCTGCAAAAAACGGTTCACATATATTTATAATAAACTGATTTGAGACTTTTTCTATAAGAAGAAAAATTAAGACCACTTATTTGAAAACAAAGATGAAATGTCACTACCCTATTTGCTCTCTCATTCCTTCCAAAGTGCGCTGAAGCTGTGACTGACATTTTCCCATGATGAGTGCTATCAGGATATGATATGGAGGAAGAAGGCATTTGAACTGGAGAGCTTTATTGTCAGCGTGACTTTACCACCCCAGGTTCCCTTCTAATACATCAAATCGAATACAAATCAGCACAGATAACTCTTTCCAGTTTTTAAAAATGTAATGTTATGGAAAGTATTTTGCTTAAAGTTGAATATGTATTGTATATATACCTCAAGTTCAGGTTAATGGCTTTGATTTGTGTTCTGAAGAAAAGCAAATAACACAAATAATAACCGTAGTTATTACCCTAGTGTCATTCAGTATCAACATTGGTGTTAAGTGTCATTTTTGTGATTACCCCTCTGTTCTCTGTGTTGTCCTAAGAAGCCAACCCTGACCCAGAATTATTGAGCTGCTCCTTAAAAACAAAGCAGGAAAAAGCTTGACCCTGTATACCAAGTCTTGTTTCTCAGTGATAGAGATGGAAAAATAACATAAGTGAGTAGAGTGTCTGCTGGACCCTTGGCCGGGTGTTACTGGGCATAAAATCACACAGTAAGCAATTGTCAGACTTCTTCTATTGATCTTATGCCAACTCAGCTACTAACCAGTCAGTCATAAATGATATTAAAACTACCAGGTAATTTTTAATTGAAAATCATGGTGTGAAATATATCTACCCAAAGAGGTAACATTCTATAAATAGTAGTAATTAATTTAGCCGTAGCCTTTTTTAGCATTGAATTATATGACAAACTGCTGAAATGAATTTGAGAGTAAACATAAGGCACAGTTCTCAATTAACATTGATAATTTCTCAATTTGCAGATTTCTTTCTGTAGGTTTTCTTACATGTTCTTCCACTACATAAAAATGCCTTGTGAAATAGTTAGGAAATCCAAATACCCTGAATGCTTTCAAGTATTTGAAAATTTGACATGTTCCATTATTTGTACGAGAAGAAATTTGATCTAAAACACCTTTATATTTGCAAATTTTAAAAAATTATCTAAAAGTTGAAGGTATTTCTGTCGTACGTATACACAAAATTATCACTTTGTGACTCTGTATGCCTTTTGTGCCCTGGAAATTTGAAGGTTAGTCAAAACTGTCAAGATTTAGGAAATTTAAAAAAAAAAAAAAAAAAGATTAAGAGATAGAAGTCCACATTATAAGCACTGATGAAACTTTGGAAAATCTTACAGTAAAATGTGCTAACACTTACTGTCTAAAGCCATGGGTGTGGATGAGTGTTAACGGGATGTTTTGTGTTTGAGATCTGCTATAAGGCTCCCTGGGCACTTTTGAGCATTTAATGTCTCCTCTTAGAAAATCAGCCCTCAATCGCTGGGCTTTGTAATGCTAAGTTCTGGTCATCCATAGTTCTCAGACCTTTTCAAATCACAGTGAAAACCTCCCTATTGTACATTTAAAAATCCCCTTAAAGATTCAAATCTACTTTCTAGTGTTGTCAAAGACTAATAGCCTGTAATGCAGCCCTGCCCACTCCTGCACCCAGAGGTACAGCCTTTTAGCTTTGTGGTTTTTAATTTTAATAATCATGTGCATAGTTGCTTGGATCACTGTTACATCAGTTAAACATATACCAGCACATTCTGGTGTTGCCAAGGTATTAGCTAGAATTTATTCTTAATTGGATGTTTAAAGTGTTTGTTCCATTGTTAAGGTTGGCATAGTATAGTCAGTTAATGATGTCATAAGAAAGCATGAAACTTTACCACTTTTACAAAATATGAAGTTTTTGGGTTTTTTTTTAACTCTTTTAAGCTAAGAATCAAAAAATGATATGATCTCTGTGTACTTGTACATGAAACAAAAATTATGACCTAGTAAAAAGATTTAATATATGAAAAAAATCAAAACTGTCAAACAGTATTAAGGCCTAAATATGGCAGAGTACCCCCTGACATCATGCTGGCAGTTTATATGTCATGGGGCAGAACTCAGCAAGTCCTTGATTTCATATGTTAATATGAGACTTCTGGGTGTAAACAACCATCTCATTTAACCTCACTATGCTCAGCTTTGAAAATAACAAAGATTTATACCTCTGTACATGTGTCCTGTTTTGATACTAATTTTGAAAGTTGTTTAACTTCTCTTGATATCTTGGTAAAAGTGGCCATAAGATAAATCATTTGAATATATTTGATTTTGTCATAACATTTATAAAATGTATGTTTTCCATTATATTGAGAGTTTTATTTTAAGAATTCAGTTTCCCTTATATTTCTAGCACACCTTGGCCATCACAGTAGTCAAAGAATAAGAGAAGACAAGTGGGCTGGGCAGTGGGGAATGAGTATTCATTTTCTTGTGACATTTTGCCTTAAGAATAAAAAGGTGTATTAGCACTGCTGGTTGGTATTTTGAGTGCAGGTGATGAACCTAGTCTTACGTAGTGTGGTATGACAGAGAAGGAATAGTTTGTTTTCTGGCTTTGAAGAAGTGCCTCGTAGGTAGTCACAGGAAGTCACAGTAAGTTTGGGGAGCTTGAGGAGAGGCTAGAGGTCCCTAAGGCGTCTTTTCCTTTTGTCTGAGTGTATAGTATTAGGATGCCCAGAAGAGAGATGGTGTTGATCCTCTCTTATAGGCACTTTATATTTCTTGCTGTAGCTACAGCAATCACATACAGTACAGACAACCTCAAATTCTGTTTATATTATTGTAAATAGAAAATCATAGACAGCTGTCTAGTTTCCTCTGCAGGCATTTTTGAGAATGCATCTATAGTCTGTTCTACTTTGTCAATAGGGGATAACAGCACATCCTAGATCATATGTGAACTTTGGAATTTTCTAATTGCCCTTGGTATCCTCGTACCTTTCTCATTTTCAAGGCAAGGTAGAGGGGTTCTTTACATATCTGATTTGACCACTTCCATTCTCCAAACACAGTGTGGGATTTCTTGTTCAGGAGCAACTTCCATAGCTCAGCTTGCCCTTGCTGTCCTGGATGTTTGCTCACCACCAATAAAGGTTGCTCTTTTTCATCTAAAGCTGTTCTAAACTTTGTCCATAACCATTATTGCCAGACCACTAGGTTTTCAGGAATCACTTTGATTCTGTCTGTCCACCCACCAATGACTTGACTCACTACTCTGGACCTCTGCATCATCAGAGTTTCTGAGTCTATCAGGAGACTAGATTCATATTGTGGTTTATAGATACCAGTAGAAGAATCCTGTTATATACTGTATCTAGCACCTTAATTCTATATAATATTAACTTCTTACACTGACAGCTAGATTGAGAAAGACAAATACATTGACTATCAGGTCCTTGAGTTACATGAGTTAGGATCAAAGGCCATTGTCATGCTCACATACTCCTCATATAAACAAGAATGGTGATGTTTTGGAGAATACTGGTTCAGCCAGCATAAGATGGAAAAGGATGATAAAACAAAACTATAGAGTTGAACTTTAAGATAGCCTAAAATGACTTCTCACATTCCATTTTTTTTTTCATGCTTAATTGAGTAGAAAAGATTAGCATTAAATGTCTAAAGGAATTTCTAATTTGAGACCTAGATGGTTCCTTATTTTGCTGTCTTTTAAAGTTTGTTTTAATAAGGAATATGTGGTGGTGTAAGTGTAATTCCAACATTAAGGAACAAGAGACAGGAGAACTGCTGGAGGTACAAGGTCAACCTGGGCTAAATAGTATCAGTCATCAAGACTACATAGCAAAACACTATCAAAAAGAAAGGAAGGAAGAGAAACAGCCAGTAATCAACCATCATGTGTTCCTGTAGAATTCAGGATGTCACGTTCCTCAAAGCAGGTGCAGGCATTTAAGACCATGATAGTGGAGTATGGTAAACAGCAGGATTTAGCACTCTGGATGCTTAAGTCAGTGCTTATATTTAACCCTAAAGTTGTTTGAAATTGGTAAGAAATGGAACAGGATACAGTTGGGCTAATTATGCAATATTTTATCTTTTCAATTCTCTAACTCTGTACTGTTCCTAAAATGGAAGAGTGAGTCTTTTGGTGTTGCCTGCTCGATGTGCAGATCTTTGGTAGTAGATATTTCTCATAGTGTATACTTAAGAAGTAAGTGCCTGACATTGATTTGTGTTGATTTCTAAGTCCATGTAATAAATGATATGTGTTTTCTATGGTATTATATGTTCTTGTTTTGTTTTGAGACAGGATTTCACTATGTAGCTGTGACTGTTCTGAAACTCACTGTATAGACCAGGCTGGTCTCTGCCTCCTGAGTGCTGAGACTAAAGGCAGGTGCCACCACTCCCAACTGGTATTGTATATTCTTGTCTTTTTGATGACACGAGCCACAGGGGTTCTAAGTTACTATTTATGTTTTAATTCAAATGAAAACACAAAGTTGAAAATAACAAACTCTGTGTAAGGAAACATAAATAAGACTAATTTGCCCTCCCCCAAAGGAATTTTAACAGATTTATGCAGGGGAAGAGATAGAGGTTTTTATGGAAAGGACAGTGAACTCCCAAGTCTGGGTGTGAGTTTATCAAGGGATAGGGTGGCAGGTAGTTGGAGTTTTAACAAAGCTATATGAGATATAATGGCTTCTGAAGTTACAGTGTTCAGAACATCCCTGGTTTAGGAAATGAGATCATGGGGTAGTCTGAAAGGCAGGGCTAGGATTTGGAATTAAGAGGGAACATTCACAAGATTCCCTGCTAGGTTACAGGAAAGCATGTCTGTTACCTCATTTATAAATCTCACAAGTTACATGCTTTACAGCTGGGAAAGCAGGAAAGGTGAACTGTGTTTTTTCTTCTGCCTCACACATGGTTCCTTGCTGTTTCACATTCTTGTCTGGATTATAGTCTTCACAGTTTAGCCCTGCTTCTTTCCACTTCCTGTGTCCCCCAGATTTTCCCTTCCTGTTGGGGACCATCACCATCCTCACTACCTCAGGCCTCTGAGATAGAAAATTACTGCCTCTTAAGAAGTAAGCAGAATGTTTAGCAGAGCATTCCTAGATAGAGGCTTGCAGTTTTACAACCAGTTAAAGAATAGCTCAGGATATTCCTCCTGCTACAATTTTACAGCCAGTTAAAGATTAGTTTAGGGCATTGCTACTGACCCTTTTATCCTGTCCACTTGCAAACCCCCGCTCATATCCTGCCCATGGTCTTATATAAGCCTCCCCTGAGAAAATAAAGTTCAACAACTTGATCAGAATATGGACTTGGTTCTTCTCCTCCCTTACCCTTCGATTCCCCTAGATGTCTCCAAGTTCATCATTGACTGCCCTTTGGGACAGGGCAGACCTTTCTGTTTTTCTTCCATTGCCTACTCTGAGATGTAAGCCCCTGGATCTTAAGAATTGTGGCTGAGGAACTGCTTTCTGAAACTCTTTCCCCGATGAATAGTCCTCTATCCAAGAATTGTATGGCAGATTCAAAAACCCCACACAGCTACATGGTCTCAGTTGTACAAAGAAAGTACAGAGAAGACTTGGAAGCTAGTAGATTTATCATAGGCAACAGCATTGTGCTTGCTGTCTTTCTGATGCTGCATTTGAAAGTACTAGATTCCCTATTGAACACAATACATGGGGATTTGAATGTAGCACTGGCTCGTGTTTGTTGCTTTAGAGAATCTGGGGAGGGCTCAGTTGGTACAGTGCTTTCGTCGAATGCAGTAAGCCCTGGCTTCCATCCTCCACGCTGCATAAAAGTAGGCATGGCAGTACATCCCTGTAATCCTAGAACGTGGGAAGTAGAGGCAAGAGGATCAGAAGTCCAAGGTTATTCCTGGCTACATAATGAGTTCAAGACAAGCCAGGGCTACATGAGAACAAACTATCTGAAAAACAGCTTTAAAACCGAAGCTATATTAACGGGAATGGATAAGAATATAGAAAAGTTTTAATTTCAATTTATAAATAAATGAGATGTCCCTGAGTTTAGAGGCCTAGGTGGGGACTAGGCATCAATTTGCTGTCACAGAACCATCTGCATCCTACAGAGGAAGCTTGAAATTGGAGACATTGACAAAATCTTGTCAGTTATTACATATCTAAAGAGACTACATGTTGCACTTACTGCCGTATTTGACACTTTTGAAGGATTCTTGAGACAACTGCCTCCATTCTGAGTTATTTAAAAATAAAAAATTAAAAAACAAGCGAAATGCAGTGGGAGGGCATATTATTTGAAGCAGCCTAGCTGGGCAGTTGGTTTATACTCTCAGCTCTACCCATGTGTGTCCTGCCTCAAGTGCATTTTCAAAGCTGGGAGGCTTCAGCTTTTGAGCTATCTGAACCTTTTCAGCAATGGAATCTTTTTCCATAACTCATATTTTGTGAAAACCTATGGAAAGAAAGCAAGATTGACATTTTAGTCATATGCATGTTTTATAATTTGACATTGATATTATGAAAATGGCATTTTAATGAACACAAGAATTGTTAATTGGATGTGTGGAACATACATACCAAACTCTTGAGTTCAGTTCAGGGACCACAGGTGATTGCAGGGAAGTACCTGCAGCAGGTGCTTGAGGCGGCTGGTCACAGTGATGCTTGTATTAATCCAGTTTTCTTTTTATGTAGTTCAAGACCCAAGAGCTGTCCACTTTGAGTGTGGGTCTTTACTGCTTCAATGAACCTAATTGGCACAAGTGCTCATATGTATACCTAGAAACTAAATAATCTCTCATAGCTGTGCAGAAAAGCCTGCCTCCTAGGTGACTCTGGTACAGTGGTTCTCAACCTGAGTTGTGACCCGCTTTGGGGTCAAATGACCCTTTTACAGGGGTCTCCTAAGACTGTCAGAAAACAGGTATTTACATTTACACCTGTAACAGTAGCAAAACTAGTAGGAAGTAGCAATGAAAAGTTTATAGTTGCAGGGTCAGCACACCAATGAGGAACTGTATTATTAAAGGGTCACAGCATTAGGAACATTGAGAACCACTGGTCTACAACCTGTCAAGTTGACAATAAGAAGGAACATGTCTGCTAATCTAAAAAATTAGTTTAAGAGTTACCCCAGGACAGGTCCAGGGGATTCAACATTGTGCTAAACAGTGACCTAGAAGGTGACACATTTGCCAGTGATGGCAGTGGAAAGGCAGCATTGTCACTTGGTAGCTCTGTTGCACTAAAATGAGATATCAGAAGACAAAGTTGACTAGCTTTTATGAATACTAAAACTTTTCTTGCTCACCAACCATCATAAAGATAATCAAAAATCCCATCAAGATAAAGCAATCTTGAGCAAAAAAGAATGACACAGGAGGTATTACTCTGCCTGGTCTCAAATGTGCTACAAGGCTATAGGAGCCAAAACCAGCTTGGTATTGTTGTAAATGCAGAACATTCATGGAACAAAGCTGAGCTCAGGTGTAAGCCCATGTATCACAGCTGAAGGACCTTCAAGAAAGGTGTTGAGGGGAGCACTGTCTTCTATAAATAAACAGTGTGGGAGAATAAGAGTAGATCCCTCTCATCGGTTCTAGTAGCCAATTCAAAATGGATTAGACTTCCAGACAGGGCCTTAAACTATATTCCTTCCACCTGGAAGACCTTCTCGTCACAAATGGCAACATTTGCTGTATATTGGAACACCAAGCATGACCATCATACTGGGAGGCCATTCAGTATTTATTTCTGGTGCCAAATTGTGAGACCCCCCCCCCCCCCCCCCCCCCGTCCCCACACACAGACACACCTTTTGAGAGGTTCTTATTGTGCAACCCAAGATAGCCTGGAACTCAGTGTGTAGCCCAGTTTTTATGTGAATTTATAATCTTTATATGTATTATTATTTCTTATTTTACATATCGATCCCAGTTCCCTCTCCTCCCTCCCATGCCCCCAGAACACCCATCCCACCCCCCACCTCCACAGGGAGCATAATGCCTGCCTCTACCTCCTACACATTAGATTCCAGGCATCTGCCCCATGCCCAGCAGGATTCCTATTTGTTTCAGAACAATGTAGACAGCCTCTGAGGTCAAGAGTTCTATTCCATTAAGTTTCACATCAACTCAGCCAGCATGACATTCTCCAGGGCTGTCATTGAGCACGAGCTTGCAGGGTTTAGCCATTTTAACTGCTACTTTGCATGTGATTATTATAAAGTGGTGTAAGTACTGTATGTCTAGACTTGCCTTAGGAAAGAATTCATAGGGCACCTTAGTGGCATCTTTGAAGCTCCCTGGTTCTTGGTTAAAAGCTGGGTCTGAGTATCTGTTGAAGTGTTCCATTTCTGCAATGTAACATCTATACTTCACTCATCTTGAGTTATATGTCAAATAACAAGTTATACATTTGACAAAATAACAAGGAAGCTGGGCATATAGCTGAGTTGGTAGGGTGTTTGTCTAGCTTGCAGAAAACCCTGACTTCAGTTCTCATCAGAGCACAAGCAGGGCATGATGGCACACCCTTGCAATCCCAGCACTTAGGAGATATAGGTAGGAGGATCAACTTTTCAAGGCTATCCTAGGCTCCATGGTGAGTTCAAGGACAGTCTGGGATACACAAGACCCTATGTCAAAAGAAAAAGATATTAAAACAGATCGTTTGACATGTTCTTGATCGTGTCATTAATAAGTAGCAAACTGGGTTCACTCATCCAATTGTCTGTATACTAACTTAAAACTATTTTTAAAGGCAGTTTAATTGGTTTTGAATCATAACTTAATCAACATTACCTAGTAGGTTTTTATTGTATGTGGTTTCTATCTTAAGGGAAACAGTTTGACTTCTGGACATTCAGGATGCAAGTCAGGCCAACTGGGTAATGAAGGAGCTCGGCCTTATTTTAAACTAGCTATCAACCCTAAATCTGCAACAGTTACATTAAATATATATATATTCAGTTATTATATATAATTTATAATATCAGTTATTTGAGTGAGGCAGTAATTTTTTGCCTAAGTATAAGCCCATCCACTTAAGTTAGTATAGAAGCAGGGCTTGTAGAGAGTGTCACTAGATAGCAGTGGCTTCTCTAGAGTGGGTGCAAGGCTACCTTTTGTCTGCTAGGCTGGGTGAAACACATCTATAATCCCAGCACTCAGGAGGCAAAGGCAGTTCTAAGCGATATTTTGTTACATAGTGAGACTGTATCTTCGAAAGAAATTATAGTATTGTCATTTTACTTCATAATCTATTTTAAATAT